ATTTAAAGGAGTAGTTGTGGCAAATATTCTTGGTTAATTTCCTGCCAAAAACTTAATGAAAATATCAACAATACTCTCACGTTTGTCTGCTAATAGTTAAGTCTACCGCTAACTAGCCGGTTGGCTCAGCTTAGCATAAAGACTGAACTAGTCTGGCTCCAATATTGTCCCAGCCAACATTCAAATATGCTCAAAATGTTTATTTATCCAATATATTAATAAAAAATGTTTTAAAAAATGAGAAAATGCAATCATGAATAAATGTAAGAAATTGCCATTATCACTATTACTACTGGTGCCAGTATTATGGTGCACTGCAGTTCTGTGTGTCTGGTTTGTCCAAGTGGTGCTGCTATTTCTTTACATTCAAATGTATTAAACAGGGGAAACAGGCAATGCAATATGTGTGTCAACGTAATGTCACTGTCCATTGTTATAAATGTTGTTAAATGTAAGTGTCATAAAAAAGTCATAATAAAAGTCAGAAAAATAATGTCACAAGAAAGTCACCATGTGTACTTTTCTTGTGTGGCCCTCAATCATATGCTGGCTCCCTAAAAAATGGCACTCAGTCTTTAAAATGGTGAGAACCGCTGATCTAAGATTTTCATTTCAAAATGCTCTAAATGATCAGTTTAGCTGTTAAGTTTCAAAAGATTTTTCCAGGGGGGAATATCCCCCATACCTCCTTGGGGAGTAGGGTCAAAGAAGGTGTCGACTGAAAATGCCCCCCAATATTACATAGGTGATTGCAGCCCTGCTACCAGCACCACTAAACTCTAAAGCTTGAAGTTACTTTAAAACATTAAGGTGGATTAAAACTAATAACGGTATTAAAGGGTTCATTTTGGGGCTACTCTTAAATCAAAGGTATACTATGCAGGAATTGTGGGTTACTGTTTATGATCAACATCGCCAAAGAAAGTGAAATACAAGTCTGGATTCACGCTTTGTTTGCTAAATTTGCTTTTTTTTTGGCAGTGTCCGCAATTTTCATAGCTTCCTCTTGGATACATGATGTTTACAGTCTTGCCTGGGTCGCCCGTTTTTTGTCTTTTAGGATGGAAAGCTAGTACCCACCCTTCTCTGCCTCTGATTGGCTTACCCTGACATTCTTACCCTAGTCTCACTCGTCTTGCCTAAACCTATACCAACCCAATCAACAAAGGCAATGAGTACCTGCCAATCAGAGGGAGGGTAGGGCGGGTTATGCCTTCACCATCCTAGGAAAGAAAATGTGACTATCTGGTCACTACCTTTTTATAAAGTAACCACACACTTCTCGTACGTGATGATCAAGAGGAATCTATACATTATTTTTTGGAAAATCGTGCACATATTTATAAGTACACAGAAACTTATCTATGAATGATTTGAATGTCCTCTGAAAAACGTAATGACAACTTGAATTATAACAGCAGACATGATGGCTCACAGTAACACAGAAACCCTATATGACCCTGTGTTATTGACTTGGTCCCTTTAAAGGATGACCACTTTTAAACCCTTTACAAGTGCGCTATTGTTAAGTGACCCTGACAACACTTCTCTATACAAACAAGAATCTTTACCACTAATTCCTCTCTGTCAAATGTACGGTATGCCATGTGTATGTTTCTGGTCATATGCACTCCATTATATGTATGTATATGTGTGAGTGTGGCTACATGTGTTTAAACACACTTCTGTTCGTCAAACATTACTATTGATTTAACCCAGCCATACAACATCCCTTTGTGTTTGTTATCTCTGTGCTTTGTGGAAAAGCAAAATCCATTTCTCACGACTCGCTCTCCACCCCCCCCCCCCCCGGAGTCTGTCGACACCAGAGGGGATCGAAGCAGAGTCTCTATGAAGTCGCTGCACTGTCAATTCCCCACTGTTTCTACTACAAAAGAGACGCAACACACACACACGTCCAATGTGTCCAATGTGTCAAAGTCATACGTAGGATTGTGCTTCGCTTTTAGGAGATTGTGATGGGTTTTTTGTTCTTAGAAAAAAACACAAGCTGTATTTTTTTCAAGTACGATCTGTTCTAAATTGAACGCGGGCTGATTCTTCTGATAATCAGAAGAGGGTAGGACAGAGAATATTATGGAAAAGTGAAAATCTGAGTTGATGATGTTTAACATGGAGGGACATTTTTTAGTTTGGCTACCACAGAAAGCTGTTGGGATGGTAGATCTCTCCATATACAGTAATATACAGTATGTGTGGGCAATATTTATTAAATTAAAAACGTATGTATATTCACATTAGAAAACAGTATTGTGTTACTATGGGCTAAATAATACTGCATGTCCTCCGGTGCATCTGTTTCTGTTAATATTTTATTGTAAATTAGATTATAAGACACAACCCACAGTCTTTATTTTGCTGCTTGTAGCTGTAAACGCAACATCACCTTATAAAGTTGATAGGGCAAACGTGCCAGGAAGTTGGTGCCTATTTAAAAATTCCTGCAGACAGAGTTAAGTATTTGTGTCTACCTGTTGGTCCATCCTTTAACTCTCTTTCAGCTCTGTTTTAGGTGGGATAGATCTTGCTGTTTGGGACTCCCTAAAAACTTATTTCACCCGGATGGGCGTGGTTTTGCAGGGTGCAGCAGTGCAGCTGTGCAGGCTTCAGTGAGATCTGTGGCTGTTTCCCGTGCTCTTAGTACACATTCATAATCGAGCCAATGTGCTATATGATAAACTGTGTGCACCTTTGTCAGAATGCAGAACAACAAATCCTGAATTATTTTGCTTTGATAAAAGTGAGAAGTTGGACTGAGTGGCAAAGTGTGGGCTAGTTTTATTTTCAAAGCTTGGAAAATAAAGCAAACTACAATGAATGATATATGTTAAAAGTATGAAGGCATACAGAATTATACTCTTTATGTTTTAAAGGCTATGTACATGCAAACTGTAATCTGTAAGCCCATTTGTGCATCTATTGTACAAGATACTACACCGATATCAGAATACAGACCAGAGCCACCATCTGACTAGATTTTTGCTGCTGGAAACAATTTTCATTTTCTAAGTGTCAATATATTTTAGCATGTTCTCCAGTATAACATTATGATAATCAATTTGAGACTTCAATAGCAGTTTTGTAAAAGTCACTTAAAACTCAGAACCGTTGTGTTTCCATTACCTTAGAATGAGCCGTTTTTATCTACAAACGCAGCAGGTCCTCTTCTGCGGAGTACGCCATGTTGCTCTACAGTAGCTCGAGATGGGGCCATTTTGTTTTTTTGTGTCAGCCACTGTAGTTCTACTACATGCTTAGCACACGGCACAAGTTTTAGTTCTGCAACCTCACTGTTAGATGCACTCTGAACCTGGGTGGCAAACATTAGGTCAACAAACAGGTTACAGTTTTGCTAGCTTGTCGAAAAAGTAACAAGACGACCCAGTGCAAGCTGTCATGAACGCACATCAGGCACACAACTCTGGGTGATATATCAAGTTTTTAGGGAGTCCCCTGGCTCTTTAACTGTTGAATGCTCCACTACAATCACCAGTTAGCCGCTCACATCTACTGCCTTTTTTTGGTGCAGGGCAGGTAGTACACAGCGGGTTAATCTAAGCTTTTTCCTAAAACTGCATCAGAATAAGAAGTGGTGAAAACCAAATCAGTTAGCTAAAAGATGCTAAAATGCTCCGTAGAGCTGCGGAGTTGGGTAATAATGATCACTACAAAGGCATAAAAGCAAAGGGTTAGATGCCCAACAGATTTCATGGACTCCCATACTATATGTTTTCGCTTTTCATACACATTTTGGAAATTCTACTTCAAGGTGTATTATCCCTCTGAGTAGTATCTGGCTGACAGTTTGAAGTGATTTGTCAGCACCTGTCAGTCTGCTGTGTCTCTCTGTGCCCCTGAGTTTTTGTTACCTCTCTCTCTGTCTGTGGGGAAATCAGGAGAGTGTATTCTTTGTCTCAGTGTGTGCTTACCGTAACTGTCACTTGTGTAATTAAGTGTTTCCTTGTGCAGTAATTGCCAATTTAATCTTCTGTGTTCGCATCCTGATTTGTTGTGTTTGATCTGTCAGTCAAGCTGGGCGTGGTTTCCATGGGGATAAGGGAAGTGTGGTAGTCATTCCCTTCAACCAGTTGCCATAGTTAATTACCTGTAGTCTCCAAAACATGGTTGCTACGGAGAGGCAATTACTGCAGTTTCTAATTGGGTCAGACAAAGGTGTTAGGCCTTTACCTCTTAAATTAATTGGGTTTTTCTCCTTAAGAAAAACTGTCCATGAGTAAGCAGTACAAACAGGTCAAGTGTGTCTTCAAAGGATGCTCGACTCTGGCAGTCAACAAAGCTTTTTTGGGTAGCGAAGGGGACATATGATTGGTTTAAAGCATGTGTGCGTCTGTGAATGTGTGTGCACATACTTAATCTTGTGGCAACGTGATACCATGGTCATCGTAGATACACACTGAACCTGAAGTGTCAGCTTTCAGATGGGATCCCTTCCATTTGCTTCCTCCTCAGCACCTGGCTGCATGCGGAGACCCAGGTGCATCCGTGCTGTCCTTCAGACGTGACCCTACTTCCTTTCCCTCGAGAGCACCTGTTCAGCTCACAAACACACAAAGTTCCCTCACGTAATACTTACATTAACGTCATAGGTGACTTGAGATTCACTGGCCAGCACCGGTGTAGATGCTGATCCAGTTTGACTTGCCTTCCTCAGAGTGGAAATATTTGAGTGGGAGTGAATTCTTTTTCAGATCCCTGTTAATTTTATTTTCCCAGTTAAAGACGTTAGAAAGTAGAGAAAGCATGACCTGCTTTAATATCCACTCACTGGATTAAATCAGCTCTCATCGCTGCTGATCTGCCGTGAGAAATGGGATTAATCAATCCGAGACAGTACATCTATCTGCAAATTAAAACCGGTGCTCATCACTGAACACATAGCTCCATGGTTTTGGTGTTATTTTGGTGACATGGTGAGTGGGCGGCTTTCTTTCAGTAAGAGAACATCAATCATACAAACCTCAGATGTGTAAACTGACCAGTTTATGGAGCTTGTATTAAGAGACAAATTCAAAGCATTGCTAGAAAACAGCAATAAATAAAATCTGGGTTAGTGAGGGTATAAAATATGACTGTGAGGAAATCGTAGCGATGACCACGTGTTCCCATGCTGAACTGTGTATGAACCAGTAATTCAATATATTTACCCTGAGTTTATGCATGGTATTTCTGCAGCTCACATGGCAGCCAGATCATAGAAAATAACATAGATAAGATCTCCTAATCATGCTTTACTTTCAAATGAGATAAATCCACCATTAAAATTAACAAACAACTGTGTCAAACTTTGAAATCTGGATCATCATACGAATGCTCCCCACGCTCTGATCGGATCAATACATTGTCAGTTAATTGTTTAGTTGTGAGAAGACATTTAATCACCGCTGTTGCTGACAGTTGATTATCCCCGCATGTCACGACAGTGACAAAGACAGACACTTCACTGAAAGAGAAAATAAATAGCTGTAAACAATCAAAGGTTCTTAAAATTTGGACAAGACTGAATGTCACAGATCAGAAGATTGCAGGATTTATCTGAAATCTTGTCCAGTATTTAATGGACGGTTTGACAGATGTTGCATTTCACTGTTTGTTGGTTCCTCTCTTACAGCGAGCGGAGCTGGATGCTTTAGCAGACGTTTCTTTGATCCTTGATGCAGAGCATCTCTGCTGGCAGCCATCTTCTCTGTCTTGATCTGAAAAACATGCAGCAGAGATTATGAAAATCATGTTATGGGTACCAGCGGTGCATGATGTGCACCTTACAGGTATAAAACCTTTTTAAAATCAATGTTTTGAGCATTAACTATACCAAAATCTGAAGCTCAGATGCTATTAAAAGTATAAAGGCTAACAGTTTTAAGAAAGCATGTATCTGCAGTCACTGATAAACATGAGATTTATTTATCAGAAATAAGCTCATACATTGAGTGGTAACTTTAAATTAGAAGTTACGGTGACTACAACATGTGTGTGACATCTGAATGTGAGATTTCAAATTCTTAACTCTGTGTGTGCAAAGCAAACACTGAATTGTTGAGTAATCAGTCAAAACATATTAAATCATACATAATTAATGACATATAAATGGGTAAAAAGTCATTCACTGATGTGGCACATTCAATCATTAATTATATTTCCATGGTTTTCAGAAGAGGTGAAAATGACAAAAGCAGACGTCCAGTCTTATTCAATTTTCAAACTTAATATAGCATGCTGAGCATCTATTTTTCACACATTACAACTAAATGTTCTCCTGACATGTGCATGCTTCATGTACGCCAGTTATGTACCTCTGTGCAATCATCCCATACACTGGAGATACATATATGTTAAAAGTAAACCTCCCAACACTATGAAATGTGTGGATGTTTGCATCACCCACAGCTCTACCACAAATGTAGTCTGGGTGAGAAATCAATGTGGTACACTTTACACTTTTGACCCGAACAAGTCCCTACTCTGCAGACTTGCTTGTTCAACACTGATGCTGTGCTGCTCTTTGCTGCCCTCACATGCCTCTTAAAGGAACTTTCTTCACCTTTAGTGCAATGTGTGCTCTCACACCTCCACAATGTTCCAACAGGCTGGATCGACAAAACATGTTACTCCGTGTGATTACAAGTGCATTGAATGTTCCAGGAATAGAGCACCTCTTACCACATGTATACATGTTTAAAATCCCTCTGCTGCAGCTTTCTATCGCAGATGAAATCATCACACATATGCCACACATCTGGTGCTCACCTGAGCTGCTGGCTTCCAAAGCGAGGTAACCATCGATCAAGGAGCTGAACCCTGTCAGTCCCCCCATGGCAGCATATGGGACATCCCTGCCGATGGGCCAACTGTGTGCCTCCCTCTCTAGCTTTGTCTCAACCTACCAAAAAATAGTATGACACAAGTTAAATAGAGTTAAGGTGTGCGACTTCATGATAGCAATGTTTTAAGTCTACATCTAACATTTTTTGTTTCTACAACAAGGACCTGTGTTTGATGTTTGACTCTACTCACCAGGGTCTGATGGGCAGAGCTGGGCTGGCTGCACCCGCAGGTGAAGGAGCTCTGGAACCCAGAACAGGAACTGCCTGAAAAATTAGTTGTTAGGAAAAAGTACACGAAAATCATGAGCATAAACTGTGTAACTAGGTGAGATGCTAGGGTTTATTTAGGCTAATTGTAGTGATATCTGACTCACACTTTTTGCACAAATGGCCAGTAGCTTCACTGTGATCCTGAGGTAAGTGTTTACACCTGCAGCGGACAGGGTTTGGCCCAATTTTGGGAACATACTGGTAGGCAGGACAGTGACATCCATTGACCTGGCAGGGTAGGGCCAGGGGTCGCTCAGAGGGAACCACTTTAAAGTCGGTCTTATGCTGCTTGTACCTAGACAAAATGGCAGAACTTGCTAATGTGTTTACTTGCGTATGTTTATGCATGTGGTGGCGTGTAGGGGAGAGAGATATCTGATTTCATGTGTGGTGAGTAGCGCACTACCTATGTGTGCAGAAACACTGTGTCTCAGGACCAATGAGTTTGCAGTCAATTCCTCCTGGGACCCCAAAGCTCACATACAGCCTGTTTTTTATTCGTTGGGGGAGCACCTTCCTCTTATACTCCTCATATTCCTCTGGAGTGAACAGTTTTCCTCCATCATCATCGCCCACAATCCTTGAAAAGACAAAAAACAACAATAAAAATAGCAATGAGTTGACCTCACCATAACAAAGGCTTATTGTTTTTTTTCCCAAACTTTATTGAAAGGTATAGAAATTAAAAAAAAAAAAAACAGCAGACGTGTACTCCTTAGTACAGATTCAAATAAATAAGCAACAAAAGGTATTGTGGACATCATGAAAACATGATAACTTCATTAAGTGCAAAATAAAAATGAAAAAACAAACAGACAGAAAAAAAACAGAAACATACATATTATTCCTCCTTAAAGAAATTATTATATAATTCTAGAGTTTTAATACTTTTTTCAAATTAATATGTTAGAGGGTCTACATTTGTGTATGAAATTTACCACACATGATCGGCAAGTTCACAACCAAGTCAAAGTCTCTTTTCCATATTATTATTAGTGTTACACAATATAAAGTTTTTTAGACGAGACCAAAAGACCAAAAGAGATTCTGGGTCTGTGTTACAAAGATTACGGTTGTTCTGTGCTCTGTGTCTAAGAATTTAGAAAAGTATAAATTAGTTAAATATATATTGTGTAAAATTTCAATATGTATTTCTTTAATCTTATTACTAATACAGAACATGTATGGTAAAAGCCATGCCTTCTGCCAAACAATACCATCACAAAGGTTGTCCCAAAAAGCTTTTTCTCTTGGTGTAATCCTTCTTTTTTATTGTTACATTTAGATTTCAAAATGTCGACACCATTTATCATTAGAATGGGCTCTATTCTCAGAACTTCTTGAATGGGTGGGAATGGCCTTCATTACATAGTTAAAGTCTCTGCTTGTGACAGGAAAAGCCTTAATAACATAAAAACAACAAAGGCTTATTGTGTTTGTATTGTACTTTAGCTGTTGCATCACTTCCTGTGTAGTTAGCATTAACTAACTTAGCTATGTCAACGTTAGCTGTCACATGCTAGCTTGATCACGGGTGTATAAAGCACCTATAGGTATTAACTAAAGTCAGGAAGTTAAATCATACAGTCTAACGTTGAGACAAACCTTTTGTACTCCCAGTAGTCATCCACTGCTTGTAAAGCCGATATATCGAGAGATACTACCTCCATTGTCAAAAGTCCAAAACTGATAGCTGCACAGCAAACAACTTATGTTGTTCTACAGCAGTTGCCATGGAAATGTTGTAGTCGTCCCTCTAGCGGACGCTGTTAGCACTTTAGGAATTGGTTTTATTGTTTTAATTCAAACTGTATAAATCTTTGTCTTAACGGTTAACCATTAAAATGCATATAATATTACCTTTCCTTCAAATTATTGCTTTCTTCATTGCGTTAATTCGAGAGAACGGGCCGTAGGACTACATTTCCCACAATGCCGCAGTAATGACGCAGTTAGTAGACGTTCAGGGGAACCATGACAGTCTGCACAGTTGCATGCTTGGAATTCTAGCTACCGACTTTTGCTTGCCAGGAGCTCATTGTTTAGGAAACCGCGGACTTAGAAGTCGAGATGGCTGTCAGAATGAACCGACAGCTCAACGTGAATACCAGCAAATAATCTTTTTTTAACGGAGACAGCGGGCCGCTCGACATATTTCCCCCAGCGACAGCAACGACAGCCCAGGGTTGCCAAACAACAAGCATCATTCAGTGTCAGCCAGAGGTAGCTGCTGGAGCTCTCAGGCGCCTCGTCCCTGCTCCTCTGGAGCCCGTCAACGTCTGCTTCAGTCTCAAGGTAGCTTCTCGGACAACCCGCTGAGGTGAAGTATCTGTGTTTGTTAAGATTTGCAGTTAATATTTTGCCTTTTTGTTGGCAGGCAAGTTTGAGCTTCACGACCCAACACGTCGAGCTTGCGTTAACATGAAATGTTAGTAGAGTTGTAGCTCCTTCAACTGAGCTTGAGCGGCTGCTAACAATTACTTTAAATATATATTTGCGGTGAAAATGTCTTGAAATTAAGTATCTGAGATCGTGCATCTGTAATTTGTAAGCTTTCGTGGTCTGTGTGCTGGTTAACGTTACTTTACTTTTTATGAACACATCTAACTTGCCTCTGTGTAATCATTTCACAAGTCATGTGTGCTAAATCATCAGTCTGTTTTGGACTCTGTGTGTTTAGTCACAGTTGCAGTGTCATACCATACATCTAAGTATTCATATCTTTTATCTCCTCCACCCTGACTGTAATGACATGGTAGTATTCTCCACAGTGCAGTCTATTGCTCAGCCTGCCAGCTGTTGAAACACATGTGACAGCTGCTGTGGTGAATATTTAACCTCCTAGATTAGGTATTTTAGATGACAGTATGTGCCTTATCATTGTCAATCCCCCCGTTAGGTACACTGTGTCTAAACAGTCCTCCATACAAGTGGAACATTCATTGTCTGAAGCCATGGTCTAAATAGTGTGTCTTTCCATGGAACAAAGATCAGGCCCGGTGAATAGCCTGACATGACAGTAAGGACAAGGACAGTGTCTGAATACCAGAAATCTTCTGATTGTCAGTACCACGATTAAGCAAAATGGATGTAATCTGTTGCGTGACACATGGGAGTCACAGAGAATCATCCTTAAGGTTTATTATTTTCTGCCCTGGAGCTGGATTATGTTATTTGTTAGGAACTTCCACAGAAAGTTTAAATTCCAGCCTGAAATATTATCTATACTCGATTGTGCATAAGGTCCCTTTGTAACAAGCATCGTGCGTTTCGTTTTTAAGTGCACAGTGTTTTGGTGAACGGTTAAAATTGGCATTATAAATACTATATGAATAAGGCTGCTATACATTTATTTTAAAATAGGAAAATGATTAATGTTCAGGATGTGATGCTTAAATAGTTTCCAGCTGCTTTTTTAGACAAGAAACTAAGACATGCCTGAAGTGGGTGGCAGAGTTGTCTCGCTCTGTCTGGCAATGGCAGTTGCATATTTGTGTTTTGCTTCCTCTTCAGTTTCAGCTGTTACTCTCATCAAGTCTTTACACCTTGCTTTATCTTTCCTCCCAAGCTCTTGGCCTGCTGCTCATCAGTAGCGTCCAGGTCACAGGAAGGACATGTTTGTGTGTGGATAGGGACTGGGAAGCATCACTAATCGGATTCTGTTACCTTTCTTTTCATAATTTATTCCCTCTGTCACTGTCCCCTCTCTAACCTCAATAGGAAGTGACACTCCCACACCCAAGAGAGAGAGAGCGGAGAATGAACTCGGTGACAAAAGTAGCGAAAACTGAGAAATGATCACCTAATTTCCCCCTGCGTGTGTGCCGTGCACTCATGGGCTATTTGTCAGTCAAATAACCATTGTTAAGGTGGGATTAGAGGATGAATGCCCTCTATGCTTCTGCTGTGCCTCCTGTCTGAAGCTGCAGAACGGGTCCCATGAAATCTAAACTGGTAATCAGGTTTCTCGTAGAAGAGGGCCGAAAAACATTTGTGGGTGAGTGGGCTATTGTGCACCCTGACCCAAAAGAGCAAAGAAATCTGCCTTTAATAATAGCTAAATAGTTTAGGAAGCCACTTTGATGTAGCCACCAGTGCCTTGCCAATAATGATGAGGCGTTCCTCATCCAGCACATGCAGTGGTGTTTGTGTGTCTGGTGGAAAATCTTAGTGCATCCACCCAGAAATCCGCACAGCCATTATGAATAAAAACCACAATGCTCAACAGGGCTCTGAAGAAGCTACAGAAGGGCTGCAGAAAGGACCCTGTGAGTGTTTTGTTGTACAGTAGAATGAGTTTGTGTTGCAGGCTTGCAGCATTGCACAATGAACATGTAGGAATCATGAAAAAAAGGAGAGCAGAACAATCTCTGTTAAAATAATTTCTAAAAGATGGTAATAACAAATGTCTCTCTGTGTTTCTCTCATCTTATTAATTATGTATTTTCTGTCTATATTTGTATACCTCTCCAAGGTAGCCAACAATGCCTGCGGACCCCCTGCCTGAATGCCCAGCCTACATTTATGATTTGGTGTTAGACGTCTTGCAACCAAAGCACCTCTCCAAAAAGCTCTGACTGCCGGTGTCTGTGGGCGGCAGCTTCCTTCTGTTTCCACTTCCTGGCCTCGGCTGTTGCTCAACACTTTTTCATCTCCTCTTAGGAGGGGCAGGATGCCTTGAGCAGTTAGAGAAATGTCTTCAGCTGTATGGGTATAATGCATGCATGTGTTCTGCTGGAGTTCACTTGAGAAAGGCACTGAATCCATACCAGCTCTAGGAATGCTTTGCAGGGGGCTTTGATCTCTCTGTAGAAGACAGTAGAAAAACGAATCTCCCCGCAGGAATCAACTAATAATTATCATTCTACTTATAATTTTATTGGTATATCTGCACCCAAGAAAAGACCCTCAGCCTCAGACCGGGTCTCTTCAGCTCCTCTTTCCTTTGCCGCCCCTGTACCATGCTGGGTACACTCATGCGGAGGAACATGTCCCAAAAGCTGAGTGTGCTGCTGCTGGTGTTTGGCCTGGCGTGGGGACTTATGCTGCTGCGCTACACCGTGCAGCAGCCTCGCCATCAAAGCAGTGCCGAGCTACGTGAGCAGATCCTGGAGCTCAGCCGGCGATACGTCAAGGTCCTGACAGAGGAGAACCAGAACTCACCAGGTGGGCCACAGGGAACCTCCATGGCAGGTTATGGTAAGCATTTCAGAAGAATATGCAATGAATGTGTTAACTTCTCTCTTTCCTGCACATGCAATTACTTGCTTACTCCTACGTGAACATTGTGTGTTTCATAGTTTTGATAGTTCACACTCAAGCATTGATTTTTTGTTTTTCCCTCCCCTTCTCCTCCCCTCTCACATGCACATGCAGCTGATCTGAAGAGGACTATCGCTGTGCTACTGGATGACATTCTGACGCGGCTGGTCAAACTGGAGGGGAAAATCGAGTTGGTGGTCAATGCCTCCTCCACTAACACCTCCCACACAGCAGGGGGCGTCCTCGCCTCTGCTTCCGTCGCCCTACAAAAATCCTTAAAGCATGAGATAGCTGGCAGCCACACAGGGACGTCACGCCTTCACCCGCACATCCGTAAACGGTCTCGGCCGCATCAAGGAGTGTATGTTTGATAGATGGATTGATTCTTTATTTTCTTGTTTAGCACATTACACTTTCTCAGCATTTATCACTGATGTAACAACATCAGACAAATGAAAAGCAATAGGGAGACATATGGACATCCAGAAACTTCAAATTCGGGATGCTTCTCAGAAATTTTCAGCTGACTCAGAGGGAAGAAAGACTTCTTTATGCTCTGTCCTATCATATGCTGATATTTATTTATTTTTACCAAGACTATCCAGCACATTTTTTTATATTTGCATTGCTGATTTTATTTGGCTTAGATTTTAGCATTTGTTTTATAAAGCCACATTTGAATCTTACGACTGTTTGAGCAAATGCAGAGACCTATAAATACTCTTGGAACCGAACCAGATTCTCACATGCTTTATCATAAAAAGCCTTGAAATGCTCCCCTATCAACATTATAAACCACCTTACAATACTGCTTCAATATATCAAAATGCTGATCTAAACAGTACAACTCATGATAGTTAGGAATAGCTGTTTGTCAGGTTTTAGCTGGTGCAGTTGCTAATTACTGTATGAGACTCTACTTTCAGCTTACACATAGTTTTAACAATAAGAATAATTAAACTGTATAGCTCGCCTGTAAGAGATAATCCAAAGAATGTTATTTGCACTCCATCTGCAGGCAGTATAATTGTGTATTTACAATTGCTGCAAGACAGTTTGAGGTTTATGCAGAATTTGATGAGATGATGCCGAATTGCCACTGTAAACAGGAGTGTGTGTGTGTGTGCTTTGTCTCAGTTTAAATCCAACGATTCCCTTGCCCAGTGTTGAGAAATGTTGTAACTTACGTGTGTAGCAGATTGATTGTACTGTGTAGTCACTCTTAAGCCCTTTCGTGCTGTTAAGATGGCTGACCTACTGCTTACACATGTTCAGGGTTCATGTTGCACTGTGACTCTATAGAGATTTTCTAAAAATACTGGGCTCATCCAACTTTGACTTAAGGGATATTTTAAGAGGGTGGACGTCAGGCTCTGGAATATCCATTCTTCCAGCCTTCCTGCTGAGATACTCTGGCTCCCGTCCAGGGGAAGAAGATCTTTAATTTGCACAACATAATGCTCATTAACTTGTTGACTTTGTGCAGCAGGGGCAATACTTTTACCAATACTACTTGGGGATTGTATGAAACAAAGTCAATGTGGGTGGCATACTAAAATATGAGGGAGAAAATGCTTCATGCTGTTGCTCACACTTAAATATATGAGAGGGCCTCCGGACTGAATGATTGAACTGGTTTAACTATGTCTACCATGAGTAATGCCATAAATGTACTTTGCTTCAAATTGCTTAAGTAGAAAAGATGGTGACCCAGTCAGCTGCTGTGAGATAGCTTTACTAATAAATCCACCTTATGGAAAAACATATACTCTTATTCAAATCAGTTTTATTGCTATGTATTAAATGTGATTGGAAATTGTGGCTAATGTCATTCAGGAGATTGTAGTTGTGACATTGTGTACCTCAAGACTATAATTAATTTACAGTTGTGGAACGTAACATCTACTGAAGGACTGTACTCAATTACAATTTTGAGGCTGTTAAACTTAACTGAGGGTTTCTAATAATGCCATTTTCTACCCCCTCTCCATTACATTTACTTGAGAGTTGTCAAATAAAGTAACTATAGTTACTTATTAGCAGTGATGGCCCCCCTTATACAGCTGCTGACCACCCCACTGGTCCTCCCGGCAAAAATAATTGGAGGCCGATGTAGCTGTCTCCAAGAGGCTGTGGTGCACACATTTTCTAAGCTAAGCTAAGGTGAGCTAAGCACAGAGTTAGTGGTATTTTGTGAAACAAGACAGCCCAAGGCATCCATTGGTACCAGTCATGTCAGCACAGCTTGTTGGAAAAGGAGCTAAATAAAGTCCAAAGTCTATATATAAGTAGATATGCGAATGAAAATGAGTCCTCTGGGTACCCATGGGTCAGCCCCAAACTTGTGAAGGCTTGTTCCCAGAATATGTTTTGGTCCTTACGACCAACGTACACCTTCAAATTAAAGCTCTATATTTGTGTTTTTAAATATTTTGGGGGCTTTTTTTGGCCTTTATTTGAGAGGACAGATGTAGCATGGAGGGGGGGATGACATGCAGCTGAGGGCAGTGGGTTGGACTTAAACCCGTGGCCACTGTTGCAAAGACACAACCTTTGTACATGGGGTGCCTTTTCTACCAAGTGAGCTAGTAGACGCCCTTATTTGTGTTTTTAAATAACGACCAGTCTGTTTGAAGGACAATGAATCCCCTAACATTTATGGATACACAACATGGTTGTGGTGAAATAAAAATCAGAATCAGAATCAGAAATACAGTACAGGCCAAAAGTTTGGACACACCTTCTCATTCAATGCGTTTTCTTTATTTTCATGACTATTTACATTGTAGATTCTCACTGAAGGCATCAAAACTATGAATGAACACATGTGGAGTTATGTACTTAACAAAAAAAGGTGAAATAACTGAAAACATGTTTTATATTCTAGTTTCTTCAAAATAGCCACCCTTTGCTCTGATTACTGCTTTGCACACTCTTGGCATTCTCTCCATGAGCTTCAAGAGGTAGTCACCTGAAATGGTTTCCACTTCACAGGTGTGCCTTATCAGGGTTAATTAGTGGAATTTCTTGCTTTATCAATGGGGTTGGGACCATCAGTTGTGTGCAGAAGTCAGGTTAATACACAGCCGACAGCCCTATTGGACAACTGTTAAAATTCATATTATGGCAAGAACCGCGAATCAGCTAACTAAAGAAAAACGAGTGGCCATCATTACTTTAAGAAATGAAGGTCAGTCAGTCCAGAAAATTGCAAAAACTTTAAATGTGTCCCCAAGTGGAGTCGCAAAAACCATCAAGCGCTACAATGAAACTGGCACACATGAGGACCGACCCAGAAAAGGAAGACCAAGAGTCACCTCTGCTTCTGAGGATAAGTTCATCCGAGTCACCAGCCTCAGAAATGGCAAGTTAACAGCAGCTCAGATCAGAGACCAGATGAATGCCACACAGAGTTCTAGCAGCAGACCCATCTCTAGAACAACTGTTAAGAGGAGACTGCGCCAATCAGGCCTTCATGGTCAAATAGCTGCTAGGAAACCACTGCTAAGGAGAGGCAACAAGCAGAAGAGATTTGTTTGGGCCAAGAAACACAAGGAATGGACATTAGACCAGTGGAAATCTGTGCTTTGGTCTGATGAGTCCAAATTTGAGATCTTTGGTTCCAACCGCCGTGTCTTTGTGAGACGCAGAAAAGGTGAACGGATGGATTCCACATGCCTGGTTCCCACTGTGAAGCATGGAGGAGGAGGTGTGATGGTGTGGGAGTGTTTTGCTGGTGACACTGTTGGGGATTTATTCAAAATTGAAGGCACACTGAACCAGCATGGCTACCACAGCATCCTGCAGCGACATGCCATCCCATCCGGTTTGCGTTTAGTTGGACGATCATTTATTTTTCAACAGGACAATGACCCCAAACACACCTCCAGGCTGTGTAAGGGCTATTTGACCAAGAAGGAGAGTGATGGAGTGCTGCGGCAGATGACCTGGCCTCCACAGTCACCGGACCTGAACCCAATCGAGATGGTTTGGGGTGAGCTGGACCGCAGAGTGAAGGCAAAGGGGCCAACAAGTGCTAAACACCTCTGGGAACTCCTTCAAGACTGTTGGAAAACCATTTCAGGTGACTACCTCTTGAAGCTCATGGAGAGAATGCCAAGAGTGTGCAAAGCAGTAATCAGAGCAAAGGGTGGCTATTTTGAAGAAACTAGAATATAAAACATGTTTTCAGTTATTTCACCTTTTTTTGTTAAGTACATAACTCCACATGTGTTCATTCATAGTTTTGATGCCTTCAGTGAGAATCTACAATGTAAATAGTCATGAAAATAAAGAAAACACATTGAATGAGAAGGTGTGTCCAAACTTTTGGCCTGTACTGTACTTTATTGATCCCCGAGGTGTTAAATAAATGTTAACTGTATCAGTGTTAGTCTATGCACACCAGATAATTAATTATAATGACTGTAAAATCAGAAACCAAATTATATCAGTATGCAATTCCTTAACGCTCCACATTGACATAGTTTACAACTAGCAAAGTAACCCCAAAACTTTAGTGGCCCCATCTGCCACCCCTGTGAAAGATTTCTTGGGGCACCACTGCTTTGCAGATAAGGTTTTTACATATAAGAAAACAATCATCTCATACAATATGATTTATTATTACAGATTAGCTTTACAACAGTATAGCTTGGTTTTGACTAGCTCCATTTCAACCTAATTCAATATGTAAATACTGCATACTGACTTAATGTTTCATTAATATTCTTTCAATAACATATAAAGTACAAGCCACATTTAACATTAAAAGGGGGTGTTCTTTACAATGCACAGTTTTACTTGTTAAAATTTTAAATGCAGGTGATTTTTGATGCTGTATCTCTGCTTCCACAGCTGATCATCAGGGACCATTGAGAAGTTTTCAATGAGACGTTCAAGTACACTAACTTTGTGGGAGACCACACCGGACGTGACGTAGGATTCTGCAGCACATAAACATACCACCCACTTCACGCGCGCCATCTTCTAGCTAATAACCGGGCAGAATTAAACATTGTGTAAAACCCTCAGTGCTGTTTGTTTCCACCAAAATACTCGGTTGTATTAGCTATACTGAACAATGAGTGATATTGAGGATGGAAACTATGGAGGACGGGTATGTAGTTACATCGAAAGATATTAAATAAATCTCTTTCTTCCTTTTTTTCTTCCGTGTGTCTGTCGGTTAAGAACACTGTAGGCGAATTGACCACTAATGTAGCTAATATATTAGCTAACTTTGTGCCAACGCTAAATTAATAGCTCACCCTTGGCTTTGGCGTTACATGTTTTGTTGGCTAACGTTACTTCAGAGGCGGAACGTGTTCTGGTTTTGTATTAAATCAACAATGTCCTCGAAAGAACCGTTAATTTTACACGAACGGTGCCCAACTGCTCCAACCAGCTTCCTACAACGGTAGCTAACTAGCATGCTAATTATTGTTAGCTAAAGAATCACCCTGGTTACACCTTAGTATTTACACATGTCCCCTATCTTTGTCAGTTAATTGTATTGCACCTGACTCATTTGCAAATTAAATGAAATACAAGCTATCCAGGACGTTTTTATATCGTCCTTTTGTGCGGATATTACTGCTTCAGTCATTCTTGCACCTTGGCAGCCTGGGTGTTTGTATTTCCTGATCTAGATTTACGTTATATCAAAAGTAACTTTAGTCCCAAGCATCTCTTCCTTTCCTGCTTTCAGGCTCAAACATTGCTACAACATGTATCTAAGCTCTTCACTTGTAACAATGAAGCTTAAACTGTTGTAACTTTGCTAATTTTAATAATTTCTGAATTATAAAACGTAATGTGGCATCAATGTAATTGTACTGCATTCAGTGTTCCTTTTTCATTTCATTTAAAATATTCTCCTTCTCTTAAACCTATGATCTTAATTTTATTGAATGTTCTTTTTTCATTAAGGTTATTGATCGTGAAGGATTTGAAGAGTTTTATCCAAGAATGATGAAGAAAATTTTCAAGATAAAAGAAGGCTAATGAAAACATGTACAGAGCAGAACATAGAAGTGGAAAGGGAGGAAGTGTGACGGAAGAATGGTGTCAGATAGAAGCGCTTGCAGTGTAATGGCTAAAATGAAACTGGTGTCAATTTGGGTGAAGAGAGGAAAACAGACCTGGAATCAGAAAATGAGAAAACTGAAAAAAGAAGAATGAAGAAGGATAGAAAACCTGAGAGAAGGGAGTAGCGTGTAAAGAATCTGGAAGAATGAATGTGTCCCTAGGTTAAGTAAATATACTGTTTGTGTCACAAATGTCTTTTCTTTACTATGCTCTCATACTGTAACATGAAAATGCATGTTTTACTTTTCCCTTGATGACCCAGGTGGACTTGGATATAGGCCTGTCATGTATATTTGATATATGTATATATATGTTTATTAATAGGCCACATTGTAAACAAACACTTATCTACTGGAATTATAAGATTACTAACCCTTTCCTCCACAGTACTTAAGATGTACATTTTAGACAGGTGTACTGTATGTGTCCAACATACTCTGCCACATCTTACTACTAGGCTTGATAGTTTTGTTGTGTGTAGAAATACATGTATTTGTCCATGAGAATGTTGTTAACATGCTGCTGTGGCAACAGGGGTCACGCTCCCCATCTAAATCGGATCGTGGGAGTCCAGCTCGGGTTAAGTCGGAGAGCAGGTCCGGCTCCCCGAGCCCAGCCCGGGCCTCCAAACGCTCTGAGTCCAGATCCCACTCTCGGTCAAAATCTAGGTATGGTTTTTGTCGTTTAATGATCACGTCATTTTACAAACAAAAAAATGCTCATAGGAGGCTGAAATATGTCAGTCAGTTCCAGGGTGCTTTAACTTTTCCTTTCCTTTTCTATCAGTGATTAAATTCCATAACATTGTCAAGCCTTGTGTGCCATTAAATTAATGCCAATCCTCCTCTGCCCAATTCTTTTCAGGTCTCGTTCTAGGCGGCACTCTAACCGCCGTTATAGCCGTTCACGCTCTCGGTCCTACTCCCGCCGGAGGAAGTCCCGCTCTCGTTCCTACAGTCCAGAGTACCGCCGCAAGAGGAGCCAGAGCACTTCCCCTATGTCGAACAGGCGCCGTCACACTGGCAGCAGGGTGAGTTTGATGAGATCTAAAGATAGGGCAAAGTACAGTAGGCTGTTGAAAGAGAACCAGAGGATACTTTGTGTATGCTTACACACATTTATAGGGTGTTATTACTGACATTTTGAACACATTCAGATTTTTTTTTTTTTTTTTTTTTTGGACAAGAAAGTGCCTGTAAGTGTAAAAACATATAAGTGAATTGTACATGCACAAACTTCTATTTAAAGCTGTTACATTCTTTGACAATCACTCGGCTTATCTCCCAAAAACGCGCTTCTGTTTTCAGTTTCTCATTGTTTCAATACTTTATCATCTTTACTTTGACAGGTCACAGTGGCTATAGCAGGCAAAATGACTTAAATGTGTTAAACACAATGTGTTTAAAATGTTTTGTGCATTGATTCAAGCTGAATTTTTAAACATATTTTACAAGGATTATATGATTGGAAGGAATACTTCACCCACAAACTGAAAATTCATATATCAAATACTCATGCTGTGTTAGCTTGAATTTGCAAAGAAAACTTTCATTCTTCCAGGGAATGAAGAATTCAAAAAGGGCAAGCATTGTTGATAATTGAAGTAGATAGGGACCACTTTTAACTAAATCAAAACTATATCAAAATATCTGTGTGCACAACTGTCAACACAACTCGTACCGAATAATCAAGTCTCATGTATCCAGTTGTAATGCTTTGTGTTCCAAAAACATATTGCAATTTCCGAATGGACTAAAAGTGAAAGCGTAGCTAAGTTTCACTTTTGGTCCTTTTAGTCAATGCAATATATTTATATGGTTTTGTTAAGCCTGGTCCTTGTGTACTGAAATTAATTAACAATGTTTGCCATTTTTGGATTCGTCATTCACCATAGACATGTGAGAAAAAACGTTTTCTTCAGGAATTCAAGGTAACACAAATGTGAATATTTGATATGTAAATAGTCATTTTGTTGGTGACGTATACACTTGTCAAGGGCAACTGAATTTCACATTCATTTACTTGTATGGAAGTGTAATTTTTTTTGTCTTCCCTTTTTTTGACACTTGTGGTTAATGCTGTGGGAAACCACACCTTTAATAATCCCTTTCATTAACCCCCATTCCTTTCATTATATCAACAGAGCAATGACTTCACAAAAGAAGCATACAGTCATGGCGGAGATGCTGATGTTAGGGTATGTGGACCTTCGGACATATGTTTGTGTGTAGATCAAAGGTGCTGCTCCCAGTGTAGTACTGGATGAGGGATTAAGATATAAATATAACCTACCGGAGATCAAATATAACTTTGATTCTTTGGTTTCATCATTGAAATTACTGTGTTCATTTTATTGCATGGTTTTAGTATGTAGATGATTTCAAACAGTGTGTATATGATGTTTACATGTGTTTTAGTTATGTGCTGTATGGGTTTCATCGTGACAATATTAAGTATAATTTTTAAGTTAATGCATTCTAAAACTTTAAATATGTTTGATAAATTACGTTTTACACATGGAAATGCTAATGTTTAGGAATAAGGGCAGTTAGTATTGAATAAAACGATGCTCTTCTTGCAGCACTGCTGCTTTAAGAGGTCCATGTGATAATGAAAAGCAGGAATTAAGTAAGATTTTCAAAGTAAGCAGAAAGCAAATTAAATGATTTTGGACGGGTGTAATTCTCACAGGATCATCTTTTTTTAAAAAGCTGTTTAAGGGGTTATTAAAGCTGTCACAGTTTACCCACTGAGCATTTACTGTGGGTACTGCTGGAGATTCTTGGAGGGAGGTTTTGGTACCCCGTTGTGAAAATGTGTGTGTGTGTGTGTGTGTGTGTGTGTTTATATCTATATATATATATCTAT